GGCCTTAATTCGGCTAATTGATAGATTCAGGGCAAAGTGTCCGACTCCTATTTAATTTGCATATGGCCTGTGGGCCGCTGTAACGTGCGAATAAACAAAATCGAAAGTGTTAAATAGTGTAAAACATTACCATGAATTGATAGCTGGGCCAATTGGCAAAAAGCCCGGACTACATTCTCTACTGTGGCCGCAGATCAATTTCGGAATAATTCAAAAACTCAAACTGCTCGCCCCATCAATAATCATTTGCAATGCAATAACAGCAGCAAACAAAACACAACAGCAGCAACAACAACAACAAAAACAATGCCTAAGCCAGATAGTGAATCGCACTGGCCATGCAAATTGCTATTGAAAATAATATTATCATTGATGCTGCAACAATACACAAGTGGTAAGCTCAACATTTGAACATGCCTATGGACACCTTTGTGCCTGCCCTATCCCCAATTAGCAATAATGTTTATGAGTAGGCTTAATAGCCAGTACCCTATCTACCTACATACATATAAATAGCTTAATTTTTAATAGGCCAATTCGTTTAGACTTGCATATCTACGATAATTAAGCTCGAGTATTTAAAGTATTATTGTAATAGAAATTAGGGCAAATTTATAAAGCTGTTAGCCCTAAGAAAAAAACTGTCATTCGTGCCGAGCTCCTCGATATTTTCTTTATAGTGGAGTTCAGATTTCGCTAACATTTTTAATTCTAGCTCAGATAAGTTTTTAATTGATTTTAGTTTAGAAACAAAATGTATATAAGCATTTTTTGGTCTAAGAGTTGGCACAGAGTATTTCCAAGTCCGGCAAAAAAAATTTGTATATATGATAAGCCGTACATAGTTACTAAAATAACAAAACTTGCGTAAATTCGAAAAATCAAATGAAACCCTAATAAAAGCATATAAATTACAAGTAATCAATATACATTATAAACAAAATGAATTTTTTAAATAAATAAATATTTTTCTAAATAATCTAAATAAATATTATTTTACAACCTGCATATGAAATCAATCGAATTTAGAATTACAAACTTAAACAGCAATTGCTTAAATTAAATGCATTTAAAACTAAAAAAAAATTCAACTAAATTTATAGCTTGAAATAGTTAAAGTCTAGTCGAATGTACTCATATATTATTATTATTTTACATATATTATAATTTTTTTATCAACTGCTCTGGCCAGGTGCTGACGTGATGCGTCAATTAAAATATTTTTGCACTTGGAATTTGCATTGCATAGTTAACTCTGAAGCTGATTGTGTTTGAGCTGGAAACCAAAAGAGCAGCTATCAATTTACAAGAGGGTGCCAGAAAGAGAGGCAGCGCTCGAGAGTGAGCGAGAGCGAGAGCGAGAGGCGAAGAGCCTGAGAGCGATTCTAATGCTCCCCAACTCTGAATGTTAGATATACTCAAGCTTTACTATCTATTGTTCGCCCGCTTACATAAACAATTGACTAGAGATGTAAACAGATGATTTAATTGTTAACAAAAATACATCTTAAATAGTTCCTGAAAATCAAAGTGAAGATTAAAGGGAAAATGTAAATTGTTTATATCATTTATAATTGTGTATTTAAATTCAAAGTCAAACTTTTTGATTGAATAATAAATTACGGAAATATGTAAAGGGCATTTATGTAACTTTGAATTTATTTATTTATATATCTTTGCATTGTTATTAAGTAATATTAGTAGGTAAAATTGAGCTTATTTCAGCATATAATACAAGAGATTATATTTCAGTTAGGTCACTATTTCGTTCACAGTTCATCATTTAGTTAACAAAAACAGTTTTCCTTATATAGTATAAATATGTTCATATATGTATGTTTTTTGTTTTCGTGAAGTGCATGCCTAATTGTTCAGTTATGCATAGGTAGCTCAAATTATTCGCACCGATGATCATAAATGTATTAAGTATCAATTGTCGGCTGCACAATTTGAGTCACGATCGCGACCGCTGTCGGTTTTTGCGTAATTGATATGCCAAATTCTATACAGGTATTGCTCAGGTAATGTGAAATTTGTGGAATGTTTGGTTCCCAGTCATGCGCAGCATTTGTGGCTCATCGAAGCTGATATTCCACTTTTCCATTCTATTGTAGATGCGCTGCTGCTCAAGTGTCCGCTGCATCAGCTGCAGTTGCAAAAAATTGTCGGATTCCGTCCGCCCCTGGAATACCTCAGCGAGCGGAATTTGATTTATGCCCCACCGACTGCCAGCAATTTCAAGGATCGGGATCGACGCAGCGGCGACTATGGCCTGGACGAGCGTGTGACCGACGAGCAGCCCGCCAGCCAGCTGTGCTGGCGCAGCTGCAACGAGGATCCCGACTGCATCGCCTATGTGCATCTGGTGGACACCGACGAGTGCTACGGCTACTCGTACTTTGAGCGCAGCTCGCGCTACTTGCCCATCGGGCACGACCTGCCCCTGGTGGCCGATGGCGAGGCCATGTTCTACGAAAAGACTTGCCTGCGGGGTTCGTACTGTTGCTGTTCGCATTTGGGCTGGGCGTGCTCTATTCTCATTCTCTTTTGTTGCAGTGCCCGAGGCATGCAAAGGTCGCCTCTGGTCGCTCACCAAAATTCCAGGGAACAGTCTGGTGTTCCATGGCAAAAAGACCATTTCCACGCTGGTCACGCGTCGTGAGTGCGCCGAGAGATGTTTCTTTGAAACGCAATTCAAATGCCTCTCCGCCTCGTTCGCCCCATCGTATCGGAACAATCGTGAGCGGTAATTGACAGTTTGTAGCTGTTTCTGCCTAAATTAATTGCCATTGTTATGCATTTTTAATGCGCAAGCGTTTCCATTGGATTATGATATCACTGTGTGAAGTCATAAATCATCGCCTCACACATTTATACATAGCTCATCAGCTGTAACGCTTCTCAATGTGCCGTTGCCTTCGTCCTCTGTCCGCCCACAGGTTTCGCAGCGAGGAGCACTCGTCACAAGCCCACGTCACTCTGGGTCGCTGCACGCTGAGTGACAAGGACAAGTCCATACAGCCGGATGCCTTCCGGGCGGCGCCCTATGACGAGGAGTACATGGAAAACCAGTGCTACGAGCGGGCGATTGAGAACGACAACTGCTCCTATGAGCTGTATGCCAACAGCAGTTTCATCTACGCGGAATCCAAATATTTGGGCCTAACCCAAAAAGAGGTGCGGCCCGGCTTGTAGCGCTTGAGCTGGCGCGCCCCATGATTCGAATCGATTGGCTGATTGATTGATGACCTTTTTGGTATTACAGTGTCAGGCGCTTTGTACACATGAGTCCAAGTTCCACTGCCAGGGCATATCCTTCTACTATCTCAATCAGCTCACCCGCTCCGAGTGCCTGCTGCACTCCGAAGACATCGTGTCCCTGGGCCCGCGCAGCCTTAAGCTGCGCGACAACTCCGTTTACATGCGACGCGTCAAATGCCTGGATGGTGAGCTACACTTAAATTGAAACTGCTCTGGAACACCTTTCATTATTACCTTTGCCTGTCTTTGCCTGGCTCACAGTGCAGGTGTTTTGCACACGCGATGAGATGAACGTGCGCTACAGGCCGAAGGACTGGTTCACGGGTCGAATGTACGCCAGCATGCACTCCAAGGACTGCCAGGTGAGCGGCACGGGCAACGAGAGCTTGGTGCTGCGCCTCGAAATCGGCAGCGAGGCCAAGGAGAATCGCTGCGGCATTCTGCGCGCCTACGAGATGACCCACGCCTACCACAGGTGAGCCACATTGACAGCCAGCCAAGCACAAACTCCAGCCCCATCCCTTGCAGAACCTTCATATCCGCATTGGTCGTCATACAGAACAATGCGAACGTGCAAACTCAGGGCGATCGGCTCATCAAGGTCGGCTGCATCCTGAACAACGCCACGAACGCAATTGGCCAGATGGCGCGTGATAGCAATGCAGATGCCTCGGAGCAGGTGCCCAGTGCCATTGCACTGGAGTCCTCGCTGGAATATGCAGAGCAGTATGTAAATCCCTGATCTGGCAACTTGAAAACTAATACGAATCTCCCACAGCATGTTTCCACAGGAGGGCGTGGTGCACTACAACAGCAGCACGGGGCCCCATCCGCACCCGCAGATCACACTCCAAATAGTGGATCTCTCGCAGCAGCACGAAATAAGCGACGTACAAATCGGCCAGAACTTGGAGCTCCAGATTGTGGCCGAATACAGTAAGGAGCAGCTGGACGAACACCTCGAGCTGCAGCTGGCGCCTCTGCCAGACTTCCGGGCCACATCGCTGGTGGCCAAGTCGCTGGACAACCAGAATTATGTGCTGCTCATAGACGAGCGGGGCTGTCCCACAGATGCCAGCGTCATTCCGGCTCTGGAGCGTGTGCGCACACAGTCGAAGAACATGCTGCGTGCCCGGTTTCATGCCTTCAAGTTCTCCGGCACTGCCAACGTTAGCTTCGATGTGAAGATACGCTTCTGCGTGGAGCGCTGTGCGCCCACCAATTGCGTCACTCTCTCCGGCGGCCTCTGGCAGCGGCGCAAGCGCCAGCTGGAGAGGCCAGAGCGTCCAGAGCGTCAGTTGGAGCAGCTCAGGGTACAGAATCCCGTATATATATCAACAGTTATGGACATGCTGCCCGACGAACTGAACAATACAGCAGCGACGTCAAAGGCCAATATAACGGCGCAGGTGGAGCTGCCACTCAACTATAATCTACGTGTCCACGGGCCGGATCAGACCAACAGCAATAGCTATCTGTATGGAGAGCGCGGAGTACTGCTCATAGCTGGCATTGATGACCAGCTGCACCTGGACAACATCTGCATCAACCAGAGCCTGCTGATTGCGCTCTTCATTCTCTGGCTGATCTGCCAGGTGGCGTTGCTCTTCGGCTGCGGCATGGTGCTGCAGCGTTACCGGCGGCTGGCCAAGCTGGAGGAAGAGCGTCGGCGGCTGCACGAGGAGTACCTAGAGGCTAGACGCGTACACTGGGCGGATCAGGGCGGATACACACTCTAGTTCTTTTCAATTTAAAATACTTTAATTGAGTAAAATTAAGCGAAACTTATACCTAATACGCCAAAAACAAGCATTAAGAATTTTTCTTCGGATCGTAGTGCTCCCACTTACGATGATTGAGGGAGTTGAAATCTTTACAGTACAAGGCAATCTGGCGCAGATAATTGGATAGTTTCAATAGCTCCTTGTCCTTGGAGCGGTTTAGGTGAGCCTGTCGAAATGGACGTATCTTGAGTCCCGACCTGGGATTCATCATGAAATTGCGGCGTATATCATCGAACATGATTGTGTTCTTGGGGCTATACTGCTTGTACAGACCCCATATGACGCCCAAAGGCTTCACATCCACTACGCCGCGTTCTGGCACATGCACAGAGATCATGGCATTCGAGTCGAGGTAAAACATTATCTTATAGCTCTCATTGCTAGTGACGCCGAGCAGCTTCATTTTCTCTTCAATCCAGCGCATGCTGGTGGCAGACCAAATAACTATATCGTAGTGCTCATATGCCGAGGCTAGAAACTCGTGCAAATACGGGCGCATCAGTTCCGTGCCCTGCTCTGCTGGAGATCGATGATCGAACAGTGTGTAGTCTATGTCCAGGACAAGCAAGTTTTTGCCCTCGCGTGGCGGCGACAACTCTGTGATTTTATAGTCCCGCACGCGCCGCTGCACTTTGGCCAGGTACACTGCAGAGTTCTCCACGGAATCATCGCGCCCTTCGGCATCATCGAAGTCGTCAACTACCTCGCCGATGTCATCGGGCAGGCTGCAGGCGTCCTCAATGTCCGCCTCTGTGGACCCCACCATCATCAGCTTGAAATTCGGCTTAAGCTCTAAGGCACACAGTTTAATGTTGTCCGCAGCCGGCTTCCCTACAAAGCGAATAATTATTTTTGGCAATTTGCTTTTCAGGTTTTTGTATTACCTTTGTGCTTCAGATTCAACAGCTTCTGGCGTTCCGGGCGCACCTGCGTTTTCCGAAAGATTTCGTGGCGCAGCATTTCAACGGTGTCCTGGTCGGTCAGATCGGATATGGGGTACTCCTTACCACTCCATTTAAGAACAATGACGATTTCATTAACTTCTGTCATTTTGATACTTCAGTAGGTTGTTTTTTTAGACAAACGTCGAAAGAAAAAAATAAACTGACAAAAAGAAAATTTTTTTCATACATTTATTATATTACGCACGCCATGTTTCCATACTCACTTTAACTGGGATGCTGCTTAAAGAGATTTACATTATTTTAATACAAACAGTGAACTCAAATTCATATCTTATTATATTTGTTATTTGTTTGTCAGCTGCTGTGTAATTCGTTCAAACAGCTTTGTTTCTCCAAAAGTAGCACTGAACTAGTTCGTTTTGTACTCACTACTTATCGATAACAAATGTCAAATTCATTTGGTCTTATTATGGTAGATATATCGATGTTTACCAGCGGCATGCAACCCGGCCGGCGGGCAACTCTAATATTTGAAATTGTTGAAGCACTGACCAAAGAACACAGTGATCAGTGAGCCAAAATAGCATAAAACATTGCTCGAATTATAATTAGAAAAACGAAATTGATAATAAAATCATTATTTTGCAAGCAAAAAAGAAAACAAAAACGAAGCTATTTATTTTTTTCATTACGAAAATATAATCGTTATTTAATTATTACATATGAATATACATATTAAATCAATAGAATCAGTTGTGGTAATTCAAATAATAGTTTTCCGTTACCGATGCAAATAATATGTATTTATGCACAAGCAAATCATGGTCACACTGGTTTTAAGTTGATTGCAGCCTCAATGATCGTTCGGCAACAAAGCGAGTTGTTCTGATTGTTCGTCGTCTCTCATTCTCGTTCGTAGCTGACGTAAAACTGTAGTAATCGCTACGAAGAGCGTGTTTTACAAAAGAAAACCGTTAAAAAAGCTGCGAGCTTACCTTTTCTTGCTCTTTATGCTGCTTTTTCGTTGGTGAAGTTAGATTCGTGCTCGTCTCGCTCACCTGTACGAAGCTGCTGCTGCAGCTTAATCGTGTCTCGGGTCGCACTCAGCCAGATCGTTTGGTTTTCATTCAGTTGCGAGTGAAACGCGAAGAAGTGCAAACGTCTCAAGCGGAATATCAAGTTGTATGTAAGAAAGTTGCGAACTGAAAGGAGTTAACGAAGTGAAAGAAAAAGAAAGAGATAGAGATAAAGCAACACGAAGATTACAAAGTTGAATGAAGTTGATATTTGCAAAAAATCGAAATAAATTACGGATCTAACAAGTTCAAAAAAAAGCGCGAGACCTGTGCATGCGTATGAGAAATAATTTGCATAAAGCGTAGCCAAGACGCGCTGTTTAATTTAACCCACTTTCTAAACGACACAAAAACAAAAACAAATATAAAATCGAGAAAAATCGACAACAACAACAACAACAAAGCCGAATCAAATTAACAAGCAAATAATATAAGTTTTCGAGTAAAAGAAGAAGAATGTGCCAGTGATATCTACAAACAAAGTTATTTACTTTATTTTTTTTTACAAATTTTCACATAACATCCACGACAAGTTCTAAGCAAACTAAAACCGGCCACTGAATAAAAACAAAAGAAACAAGAGCTTTAGCAAGAAATAGTTGACTTTGAACGCATTGAAATCGATACCGATATCGATATCAATGCCGGAACTCTAAGCACTCCCCGCCAACGTCCGTGAGTCACTCGAAACCGCAGCAAGAACAACAATAAACACAGCCAAATACACAAACAATAGACAGCAATAACACTTGCAGGGTATCGAACGTAGCCTTTGGATTTACTTAACCAGCGCCTTAAAACGAGTTAACGCGTGCAATCCAACTACACCAACAACTCCAACACCAACAACAACAGCAACCTGTTGACCAACATTGGCACAAAGTTCATGAAGTCTGAAAAAGGTCTTGACTGAAGTTTCATAATCAAACTCTGCTGCCAACAATATTTGTAGGCACTTTCAACGTGCTTCAACTGCCGGTTTCACATTTCAGCTAAAACAAAAGCGCATTTACACAGGCACATACATACATACATACACAAAAATACAACGCGTCTAGAATTTCTTGGATACACCTTATTTACCTGGCGGGCGCATTTTTGTGCTCTCAACGCTGACGCTGTAAAATTTTTGGATTTTTTGCACTTTTTGGTTAAATATTTTTCTGCCAGTTTGCATAAATACCAGCGGGTAAGTAAAAATTATGTCGAAAAACTAAATATATATATTATTATAAATATATATTAATTTTTAAATGATGTCGATTAAAATGTTGAAAGAACTTTTATTTCATATAAAAAATATATGTATAATATATATATAGTCTCAGAACACGGAGTCCATTTTTTGGTTGTATATAAAATCAGCAAATAAAAAATGTGACCATTATCAATTTCCCATGGGAATGACGGCATAAAAGCATTTCGGTGTAATTCGTGCTTAAGATTAGAAAAGCTTTGGGGATCAGCGAGCTTAAGAAAATATATCAGCATTGGCGTAAAGGCATATCAATCAAACCGATCATTATTAATTACTTTCACAAACTGAAAAGCTGGAACAAACCTTCTTTTGTGTTTGCTTAAATTATTTGTAGAAAATAATTATTTTTATGATTGAATTGTTATCAATAAAGAAATATCATTTTATCTATATAAAGATAAAATGATATTTCTTTATTGATAACAATTCAATCATAAAAATAACTTTTACAAAGAGTTTTTTCAACTCGCCAACAATTTCTATAATATCGGGCAACTTTTACTGCTGGAAGTCAGGTGAGGCAGTTACCTTAAAATGCTTGACCTTTGCCAGTTGTGGTCGCTCAGCATGTGACAGCAGCTATTCAAGCGAGGAGCACAACTGTGTAGATCCCATTACAAATGCTTGTGAATGAAAACATTGTAATGGCAGTTGCTTCGGGAGCAACAACATTTAGTTTAAGGTGAAGAATGCCATTGAAAGTTGTGTTTTTTTCCAAAAGGAAAAGAAATTGTCAAACTCCATGGAAAATGTCAAAGCGGAGAGCAAAAATTTTGCTACATAAACGGGTTTTTCTAGGCGTTCGCCTTTTGTGCGAAAGATCTCGATGCATCTGGCCAATCATCGGTTTGATCATCATTGATGGATACTTCAACCGCAATACCAACAACAACGATATGCCATATATATATATTAACTATTTGCTAGCGAGCAAACAACAAATACAATATGTATTTAAATAGCAGACGCTTTCACAAAACGTGTTTACGCCAGGGAAAAACAAAAAACAAAAAGAAACAGCTATAAATTTACATTTAAATTTCTTTTGCGATATTTATAATATATAGACATACATGTATATAAGTAAGCATTATTAATATTTTTAAAGTTAAAAAAAAAACACACAGTTGTTTAATTTGCAACAAACAAGCAAAGGCAACAAAAAGTTCGCCGATGATACGAAAAACTACATTTTGACACGAACTCTTTTTTTTTTGATATAACAATTTACTAACTGAGATATTTTGGCTGTGATTACGCGGAAGGGGCGCAGAGTGGGTGGATAGGTGGTAGCAGAGGAGTCGTACGCTAAGAGTTACGAAGTCAAATTTCAATCATCGGTTTGATCATCATTGATGGATACTTCAACCGCAATACCAACAACAACGATATGCCATATATATATATTAACTATTTGCTAGCGAGCAAACAACAAATACAATATGTATTTAAATAGCAGACGCTTTCACAAAACGTGTTTACGCCAGGGAAAAACAAAAAACAAAAAGAAACAGCTATAAATTTACATTTAAATTTCTTTTGCGATATTTATAATATATAGACATACATGTATATAAGTAAGCATTATTAATATTTTTAAAGTTAAAAAAAAAACACACAGTTGTTTAATTTGCAACAAACAAGCAAAGGCAACAAAAAGTTCGCCGATGATACGAAAAACTACATTTTGACACGAACTCTTTTTTTTTTGATATAACAATTTACTAACTGAGATATTTTGGCTGTGATTACGCGGAAGGGGCGCAGAGTGGGTGGATAGGTGGTAGCAGAGGAGTCGTACGCTAAGAGTTACGAAGTCAAATTTCAAGTCAGCTCGGCCCGAAATAATTATGCACAATAAAAAGCCGCAACTTTTCACTTTTAGTTTTTTTTTCTCTATTTCTCGCGACTTTAAACTTTTTCAAATCACGCACTTTAAGTTTTTCATTGTTTATTAAATATTTACATTGTCTGGCTTTGTCGTTTACATAAGCCAATGCTCGTAAATGCAACTCTTGTCTATAATACACATGAGCTGACTTTACAAATTGTTTGTCTGTTTTTGCTTGAAAACGCGCAGAAAACGCGCGCGTTTTTGTTTGAACGCAAAGCAAAGCAACGTGATAAATTCAATTAGTTAAGTGTAATTGATTTTACCGAATACATTTGATTTGCAGAATTGATTTTTAAATCTATATTTGAAATAATTACTAATTAGGTTAGCATAGTATTTAATGATTCTTTTTTAAATAATTAAAATATGCCTATGCAAGCATAACATACATACATACATATATCTATAAATTTTTTAAAGGGGACAGCGCTTATCAGCGTTAAATAATTGCGAATCAATGCGAATTCGTTTTCATATATGATAATTTCTTTTTTAATAATGTTCGGTTTCCTGTCTCACACTTGTTATTTTTGTGTGTGTTTTTTTTTTTATTTATTATGGACGTGTTGTCTCGCTGACTCTTTGGCAAATAACTCAAAGCCCACAATGACCATTTCATTATTTATGCTGTAAATCATCTGCTTGTTGTACATTTCTTCACATATACATATATATTTTTTACTTCTTTTTGTATTTGTTTTTCTTGTTGCTTTTTGTGCGTCAAGTTTGGCACGACAAGCGAGGGAGAAAGTTTTGTTTCTTAGTTTTTATATATGTACATATATGTATGTGTGTATACATTTAGCAAAAGCAAAAACAAAAGTAACGTTAACGTTATAAATTCAAACAAAAGGCAAAATTCCAAAACGCAGCAAAATTTTAAAGTGCGCATGCAAACACGTGATTTATATTTCATATACAATATATACATATATGCATATA